TGGAGGAGGTCCATATTTGTGCCCATTCCAAAGAGAAGTGACCCAAAGAAATGGGGAAACCATAGAACTATATCATTAATATCACATGGAAGTAAAATGTTGCTGAAGATAATTAAAAAATGGTTGCAATAGTACATCGACAGGGAACTGCCAGAAATTCAAGTTGGATTCAGAAGAGGACATAGATATCATTGCTGATATCAGATGGATTTGGGGTTCCAGAAGAGAACACCAGAAAGATGTTTACCTGTATTTTATTGACTTTCAACTGTTTGGATCGTGGCAAACTATGAATAACATTGTGAAGAATGCGTATCTCAGAACACTTAATTGTGTTCATGGGGAACCTGTATCTAGACTAAGAGGCAGTCATTAGAAGAGAGCAAAGGGATAGTGAACGATTTAAAATCAGAAAAGGTGTGTGCCAGGGTTGTACCCTTTGACCATATTTATTTAATCTGGATGCTGAGCAAATAATCTGGGAAGCTGGGTTGTAGGAAAAAGAACGTGGCATCAAGAGTGGAGAAAGACTCATTAACAACTTGCAATATGCAGATGATACAACTTTGCTTGCTAGAAGTGAAGAGGACTGAAAATACTGTTGAAGATCGATGAGAGCAGCTAGTGGGCTTGAACTGTCCACCTTGCAGCTATCAGTTCAGTGCTTATCCTACAGCCCCACACCAGGACTCAGGATCTGGAATAAGCACTTTATATGTGCTATTGCAAGTGCTAGTGTGGCGCTATAGGGTAAGCACTTAACTGCTTCATATTGAGAAGTGAATATGAAGTTAATATTACTATTCTTAATCACCTTGTCCACTGTTCTCTCTCCTTAGCATCCTCCCTCCACGGTTGAAAGTCAACCAATTTGATGTTAAAGTCAATGCACTAGAGTTGGCTGCCTTCCTGCCATAGGACTTCATCCAAATCTACACCCACACAAGCCATGTGTCTTCTCTCTCTTGTATCTCATTGTAGGCCATGGTGATGAGCCAAACTGAATGGGAAAATTATGTTTGGGGAAAAGACCATAAGCCTAGCTACACTTGGCTAAGGCAGACATGCCTGTCTTCAAAAGCTTTCTGAGGCTTCCTCAGGATGAAAGTGAATTCTGCTTCCTATCCTCTCAGGATATACATATTCTGTAATACATTTCATTTGCGTTGTACTTTTTATTCTCCAAAGAACTTTTGCAGATGTTATCACATGTGATCCTCAAAAGAAAATCCTGGGCTAGGCAGACTATGGATTCAATAAGCATTTAATGCAATCTATTATGTGCCAGGTCTTGTGGGAAGCATTGAGTTAAACATATGAATAAGGTTAAGTCCTACTTATCCTTCTAGTCTCGACACAAATGCCATTTTTTCCAGAAAGGACTTCTCTTTTTGTCTCTCATCATATCCTGCTTGCATCTTTCATAAGACTTATCACAATTTAATTTTATAATTATTTGTTTATTGTCTGGATTCCCCATTTGGACTACTGTAATCTTAAAGAGAGCAGAGACTTTGCTTTACTCCCACGAAACTTTCCCCACTCCCACATAGCATAGTTGGGAGGAGTTCAAAGTCTGGTAAAGGGAAACAGACAAGTACCCACATAAGCATGATCAACTATTGTTGATGCCTTGGAAGAAGTCTGTTTAGAGTAGGGGCCTAGCAGCAGAAGGAACTAATTTTATGTTTGTGTGTCAGAAACAAACTTCCTTGAAATTGTACTTGTGCTGAATCTCTGAAGATATATGGAGACAATGATGGATAAATACTCCCAGAAAGAGGGAACAACATAGACAATAACTTAGAGACATAGGAGCTGCAAGTATTTTGGTGATTTCTGAAGCAGGTTAAAGTGAAGTGAAGGGTGTGAGGTCATGAGAGATAATGTGGATGTAAGCAGGAGCTAGGTCAGCAGGAGGACCTTAACTGCTATGCTGTTACTGAATTTGAACCTCATTCCATTCACCAGAATGTTAAGTGCCATCAAGTCGATTCCAACTCATAGCAACCCTGTATACTGAATGTTTCTGAGGAGCAGCTGGTGGGTTTGATTTCCCGACCTTGCGGTTAGCAGTCCAATGCTTATCCTACAACGCCACATGAGGACTTCACAATAATAATGTTGTTGTTTTTGTAAAGTACCATCGAGTCAATTCCAACTCACAGTGTCCCTGTATAGGGTTTCTGAGGAAGAGCTGTTAGATTTGAACCCCCAATCTCGTGGTTAGCAGTCCAGTGCTTATCCTACAGTGGTGCTACACCTGAACTCATAGGTAGTATTTATTGGCTAACTTTGAGCCCTAAGGAGCTCTGGTAGCATAGTGGTTACAAATCAGGCTGCGAACCTCAAGGTCAGCAGTTCGAAACTACCAGCTGCTCTGCGGGAGAAAGATAAGACTTTCTGCTCCCGTAAAGATTTACAACCTCGGAAACCCTGTACCCTGTACAGGGTTGCTATGAGTAGGAAAAGACTCCACAGCACATAACTAACCAACCAACTTTGAGCCCTGGTAGTGTGGTGGGTCATGAGTTGGGCTATTACCCACTAGGTTAGCAGTTTGAATTCACTGGCCACTATGCGGAGAAAGACTAAGCTCTTATAAAGATTTACAGGCTGAGGAACCCTATACAGGGGCATTATGAGTCTGAACCAACTCGATGGCACACAACCGCCACCAACAACTTTGATATGAGCACATACATTTTCCTTCTTCTTAACTCTTTGTTATGCAAAAATTTAAACATGTACAAAAAGAGAGAATCACTCAGCTTCAACAATTATCAACTGTACCAATAGTTCTGTATCTATTGTTGCATTAAAAAAAAAAAAAAGTACCCTTCAAATTTAGTGGTCTAAAACAACCACCATGTTACCCCCATGGAGTCCTGGTGTGATGCTGTGGGTTAATGTGCTGGACAGCACGGTCAATTTGAACTGCAAGGTTGGCAGTTCAAGCTCACCAGATGCTCCTCGGAAACCAGCTATGAGTCAGAACCAACTCTACGGCACATAACAACAACTTTATACTCCCATTAGTCGGTGAGCCAGGAATTTGGGTAGGGCTTTAAAGAGCAATGTTGCCACTCTTACATAACTAATTGAGGCCAGTTAGTAGTACTCGTGTGGTGCTGTGGGTTAATGCACCAGACTGCAAAGCCATTTGAACTGCAAGGTCGGTGGTTCAAGCTCATCAGCTGCTCCTCGGAAACCCTATACAGGGTCGCTATGGGTTGGAATAGACTCGACGGCCCTTAACAACAACAACAAGTAGTACTCAGTTAGTGGATGATCTGGTTTTTGTGGTCATGGTGTGAACTTCTGCTCCTTGTTTCTAAAAGATTTAGGAGCGCTAAAGTCTTTTAGAAACAAAGAGCAGAAGGAAAGATTATAGAGCATAGCTCATGGTCTCAGGCCATTAACTTCTTTGGATCCTTCCATTCAAAGCTAGGTATATTCTGATGATACTTAGTTCATATGAGACTCAAACTGGCCATCTGCTTGAACTGCCTTTATTTCTTGTTAGTGTGGCAGCAAGGGATAAGAAGCCTTCATATAATGCGAATGGATCTCTTGTGATACAATAGTGAATAATTGTTATCAGGGCTGCTTTTGAGGGTTGGAATTGTAAAGGTAGACATTTTGTAACAAGGAGAGGAGTGATTAACTTTTCAGCCTAGGAGCAGAGGTCCCTGGGACCATCAAGGAAGAAGAGCAGAGAGCGGGACCCTACCCAGAGAAGCAGTGATACCTGAGATGGAGGCAGAGACAATGATGTGGAGAGATGGAGCAGTTGGGGACTTCAGACACAGAGAGGAAGAGGGCCTGTGTGCTGATGACTGGGGGGCAGGCTTGTAGTGTATACCCTTTGGTTGGTTGATGATGCATGGAGGGGATTGTAACCATGGCAATGAAATGATATGTGATAGGATGAATGTAAAACTAATGTTCTCCCACATAAACTATCACATAATTCACAATAAAACATTGAAAAAAAAAAAAAAGAAGAAGCCTTCATATTAGAGACATTTCTCTTGTACTGTTGTTGTTAGATGCTGTTGAGTCAGTTCTGACTCACAGAAACCTTGTGCACAACAGAATTAAGCATTGACTGGTCCTGCACCATCCTCACAATTGATGTTGTGTTTGAGCCCATTGCTGTTGCTACTGTGTCAATTCATTCTTGTTTTGTGTCTTCCTAGTTTTCACAGCCTAAAGTCAGAGGTGTTTTGGTAACTGCTTAACAACCAAATCTCCAGAAAAGCCCTGCTTTATAGAACTGTCTGATTTCCAGGATATAAATACTCCGCCCACCCCTACCCCCATGATCGATTTCATGCCACCAACATAACTGTATCCCAGAGTTGAGAAGAAATGTGCATTATTGTATTCTAAAAGCCATTTTGACATGAGCATGTGAAAAGATACTCAATATCATTAGTCATCAGGGCAAAGCAAAACAAGACCACAATGCGATACCACTTCACACCCACTAGAATGGCTATTATTTAACAAAAAAAAAAAAAAAAAAAAAATGGAAAATGACAAGTGTCACTGAAGATGTGGAGAAATTGGAACCCTTACATACTGGTGCTGGGGTTGTAAAATGCTGCAGCTGGTGTGGCCAACAATTTGGCAGCTCCTCAGAAACTTAGACATAGAATTACCATTTGACCCAGCAGTTCTACTCCTAGGTATATAGGAGAATTGAAAACATATGTTCACAGAAAAACTCACACACAAGCATATTTATAGCAACATTATTCATAATAGCTAAGTGATAGAAACAGTCCAAATGTTCATTAATTAATATGTAAACAAAATGTGATATATCCATGCAATAGAATATTATTCAGTCACAAAAAAAGATTAATGCGACTTCCGGTGCTTCCCTGACTGGGCAGTACAGGTACACAGACTCCGGAGAAAGCGGGTGGGTGGTATTGCACAGGGGAGGCCCCCATGTGGTAGACAAACAGCCTTTGGGCAAACATAAGACTTTAGGCTTCAACATTATGAACTTGCTTTTTTAAAAGATCAATCTCCTGAGGAGTTACAGGCATTTTGAGCTTCCGCCCACCTGCACTCGGCTCCCGCTCCGGGGCCTGCCTCTGGCCACTGCAGAGCATGGAGTGCGGGGCTTCAGCAGACCCGTTCAGAGGGTGGATGCCCCCAGAGAGCGAGCGGGGCCACAGGAACTAACATAGTCCTTCCCAGGGGGGCCTCATTGCCACAGTAGGTGCTATCAGCATGGATATAGGGCAAATCAGGGTGCCTACGGCACAGGGAGACAGAGAGAGGCATTTTTTGACGTCATCAGACACAGATGCCATCTGCCTGCAGCCACTACCCACGCCCTCCACTCCCTTGGCCTAGGCCAGCCTTCTGCCCAGCCTCTGAGGTTCAAGCCCGCCCACCAAGGTGCAGGCCAGCCCAAGTTGAGACGCCTTGAGTTGTTTTTTTACCACCAGTAACAAAGCAGTCCTGCTGTGGCTCTGTGGGATAATGCTCCAGACTGCAAAGCCTTTTGAACTGCAAGGTCGGTGGTTCGAGCTCACCAGCTGCTCCTCGGAAACCCTATACTGGTTTTTTTTTGTGTGTGTGTGTATGTGTGTATAATTAGAGACTGCTGTATTCAATCTTGTTTTCGCTAGTGCTGCATTTTTCTTTTGTCTGGCTTTGTTTTTCTCTCATTATCGCTTTTGTTTTTTATTTTTATTTTGGTTTTGTTTTCTACCCGACTGGTGTTGTTTGGCTGTCACATAGCCTCCCTTCTGCTATCAGAGGACTCTTTGTCTCCCTACATTACACGAAAAGAGTCAGCAACTGCTGCAAAATAACCAAGCTGTAATAACACATTAAAAAACACCAAAACCCAGGCAAGAACCAATACCAGCTGCCATATACCAGGAAAACAGGCAACACCTGTGAAAGTTACTCTGAGTTAAGCAATAAGAAGGGTGAAAAGGGAAGACCACATATTGATGACATCTTCCTGGAAGCAATCAGAAAACATAAAAAATTACCAAAATACATACTCAATTAAGTATTAGGGCCACAGATAAACATTAAACATGTCCAAGAAGCAAAAGCAGATGACCATATCAGCACATGTCCAGAAAAAAGATAAAATATCTGAGAAAAATGAACCAGAAGTAGACCTGGTCTCCATGCTGGAAGGACGGCAGGCCTTGGAAATGCCTGAGAATGAATTCAGAAAAATGATTATAAAATGTTTCAAAACACTTTACAATGGAGTTGAGAAAAATAAGGAAAAAGTAATGAAAGTGCTACAGAAACAATCAAACAAGATAGATACAGCATTGGTAACAATCCAAAACCTACAGAACGAGGTCCAAACGATCAATAACAAAATAACAGAAATAGGAACCACACTGAAAGGGCAGAAGAGTAGAATAGATGAAATGGAAGGAAGAAACACTGAGCTGGAAGACAAGTCTCTCAATACCACTAAAATAGAGGAACAAACACAAAAAAGGGTAAAAAAAATTCGGAGGAAGGTCTAAGATTCAAGTTGGACAACATGAAAAGGAACAACCTAAGAATTATTGGCATTCCAGAATAACAAGAATCACACAAGTCCACAGAGGAAATAGTCGAAGAACTACAGGAAGAAAACTTCTCTAAAATCCTCAAAAGCGAAAAGATAAGCATACAAGAAGCCCAACAAAGTCCAGGAAGTGTGGAACCCAAAAGAAAATCACCAAGACATATTATAGTCAAGCTCTCCAAACTCAAAACAAGGAGACGCTTCTGAAAGCAGCAAGAGAAAACAGAAGGGTCACATACAAAGGCAAGCAAGTCAAATTAAGCTCAGATCTCTCAGCAGGAACCATGCTAGCGAGAAGGCAGTGGGGAGACATATATAAAACCCTGAAAGAAAAAAAATAGCCAACCAAGAATCCTTTATCCAGCAAAGCTATCAATCAAATATGATGGTGTAATCAAAACATTCCAGGATAAACAGAAGCTAAGGGATTTTACCAAAGCCAACCCTGCGCTACAAAATATCCTAAAGGGAGTTCTGTGGACTGAGAACCAACAAGAACAGACAACAACCAGAGATTGACATATGTGGCAGCACCTCTCTGAATTAAGTCAACAGAAAGAAGAATTGTTAACAAAACAAAACTATAAGAACAAACTCACAGACTCTGGGAGGTC